TGCTGTTGCTGCTGTTGCTGTTGCTGTTGCTGCTGCTCATTACACAAAACGTAAACTTAGATGAAATTCAAAATAATAATTGTCAACGTCAAATTTCGCAAAACTCGGTACTGACCAGATATAACTTTGTAATTCTAGGGTACTGATATGTCAACAGTACAACACAAAAAAAAACTTTTTTTTTTTTTTTTTTAAAGCGACGCATACTCGGTGTCTCAGCGCAAGAAGTGACTATAATATAATATATCCGCTTTTTGTGGATATGGAGCAATCGATGTGGGAAGTGAGATTTTTGGCTGCTCTCTTCCCTCTGTAAACGGTCGCTTTTAAGCACAAGGAAGCTATCCCGAAAATGCTGTTTTGAGAAAATCGAAGTAAAGGTTTTGCCCCTTGTTCAGCTGCTTTGAAACACAAGGAGATTTTCTCTATAACCAAACAAATATACACACCGATGAAACCAAACTTCTCATATAGGTAGGGCAATGCCCACTTTTGGTGTAGGTCACGATTTCTGGATAATCCCGAAATCTGGGTTAGCCCGCTTGTCCTTAAAGACGACCAAATATCAAAGCCATAGTTGAAACCGATAACGAGATATTAACGTTTGTTTTTAGACTATGTTACAGAGATTCGATATCGTAAAAATGTCAGACTCGCTGAGAAAGTGGTTATTATAGTCACTTCTTGTGCTCAGCCATTGGATACAAGAAACAGGAAGTCTCAGGATCGGAAACTTGAGACAGCAGGAACATTTGACATCGCATCCAGATTTTGGGCCTATAGTCTTCATTTATTACAATACATTTATCAGAAAGAAAGGTGAAAAAAACCCCACAAAAACCCCCAACAGTCTCTTAAATTGACATAATATTCTGTCTCCTCTTATATTTCCAGATTGACTGACCACAGACCTTTGCAGAGCGCTGAAACCTGGACACACACACACACACTCACACAAACACACAAACACACACACTCACTCACACACACACACACACACACACACACACACACACACACACTGTAACAGCGAAGTGGTACCCAGCATCCAATTATTTCAACAAGGATTCCAAGCCTGTGTGACGTCACCCCACACAAGACTTCCCGTCAGTCACCAGTGAACGCCCACTCTGAGCGCTTCGGGAGAAATCAGCGGGAATTTCCACTGAACTAAAAATAGCAGTGACATTTCGCTTACCTTCCTTACTTCGATTTTTTCATTTCCAGTTTCGAAATGTACGGTGTGAATTTCTATTCTATTCTATTCAATTCTAATTAAGAGCTCTTTGAATTTATTTTCTTCCTTCTGTGGAGTTTTCTAATTTGGCATTGTGAGATTTTTCCCAAAAATATTTGTGCAGTGTGGTTTATGAGGACAGACCACTATTCTGGGAGTTGTGTTTTTAAAATAACCTAAACTGTGTAGAAAGTTGGTACAGTGCTTGGAATTAATCAAGTGTGGCCATCATTGGTCGTGTTGTTTTTGAGTGTGTACTTTCACAGAAGTGAATTGACCTGATTTCAATGGTTTTGGATTTTTAAAAAAACAACAAAAAAACAAGCAAAGAAATAGAACAAATATTGACGGCAAATGGTGTTAAAATATTCGGAAAAGTAGAAATTTTTTCTTTCAAAAGTGAGCTGTTATTTCCACTTTCGAATACGTTCCCCGTGTCGGAATCACAAGATATTGGCACACAGAGCCCTCTCTGCCGTCCTCTGTCGCCCCACACCGTTCTATAGGGGACAAAAGCGTCGAAACGACCGATCAAACTAAAAGCTGGTTTGTCTTCACACCACCCTTACCGTCCTCTGGCTGACAAAGTCATCGTTTAAAAAAACCCAACCAAACGGAACAAAACAAAATTCCAGAAGTTAAGGGGAAGGTTTGGGAGCAAGTTCTCCTTTCTAACCCTATACTCGTCACTGACTGCCTCATCGCAACAGTCGTAAATAAACAACAACAACAGAAGCAACAGCAGCAGCAGCTACAACAGCAAAAACACAGCAACAGCAGTAGCAACAGCAGTAGCAACAACAGCAACAGAAAAAAAGAAAGCAGCAACAGCAAAAAAAACCCCCCAGCAACAGCTATTGCCACAGATACAGCTATAACTACAACAACAGCTGCAACAACGACTACAACAACAAAAACAGCCTCAACAACAGCTGCGACAACAAAACCACCGCCCACAATGGACGGTCTAGGAGCGGTGGCCGAGCAAGCCGCCTTCATCATCGTGGAGGACGTCAGTCGCAGCAACAACGGCGACAACAGCACCTCCTCCTTCTCTTCCTCCTCATCCCTCTCTTCCTCCTCCGACAGCATCATGGCCGACCTCCTTGGCACCAACACCACAGCGTCCTCGTTGCCAGGCAACACCACGGACAGCGAGCCCTACGATGTACCCACAGGCCTCATGGTGCTCCTGGCTTTCCTCTATGGCTCCATCTCTCTCATGGCCGTTATCGGAAACGGACTGGTGATCCTGGTCATCGTGAAGAACCGGCGCATGCACACCGTCACCAACATCTTCATCGCCAACCTGGCAGTTGCTGACGTCATCATCGGTATCTTCTCCATACCTTTCCAGGTGAGCGGATATGGTTGGGATCGTTTTTGTTTCCGTTTGGTTTTTGTTTGGTTTTTTGTTGGTTCCTTTTATTTATTATTTTTTCTTGTTGCTGGTGGGAGGGGCGCTGTTTACTTTTGTTGGTTGTTTTTTTTTTCTTTTTTGGGGTTGATGGTTTTTGTGTTGTTGTTTTTTTAAAATATACTTTTCACGAGGAAGAAATAACAAACAAAAACATTATATCTGAGACAACATTGCTAAAACTGCAGCAGTTTTACTTTTTCTCAAGAGAACAATGTCTGGTTGTCTGACTATCATCCTGACTCTAGTGTGGAGGATGGGTACGGGAGGAAG